TTTCCCGATGTATACCACTCCGATTTAGCTCGGAGGTCACGGGACCGCCAATTTTTTGCGCCATCACTATTTCACTCCTTCTTGTGCTTTGATTTAGAATTACTTATATGCCTTTTGTTTCCCTCCTTATCAAAACATTGGATGCTGTATCGTCTCTGCATTTCTAACACATGCCACTGCATTACTTGCATATCATTCTCGGCTTCGATCAGCTTTCTTTGGTGGATTTCGTATTGCGCCTGATTTCGTTCTGTGGCTCTGTGGCGCAGTAACAAATTAAAATTTTGGTTTCTTTATTTTTGTTCTAAACTTATATTTTAGTCGGTAATTTTTCCGCCTGTATATAATTTAGTTATGTTACCCATCCATTTTGGTAACAATGTCCAATTTTAATAGATTTATTCATTCTTTTGATTATTTCATGACTTATACTAAAAGGTCGTCTTTGGGGCTTAATCATATGAATGGTACTCAAGGTGTGTAAACGCGACCGTGAGGGTGTAAGCGTAGCCATTTGAACCTGTTACAATCACTTACTTGCATATTCACAAGTAAATGAGGGTGTAAACTCCCATGTGGACGTGTAGACGTGCCAGCAGTCGTGTAAACGCGGCCATGGGCGTGTAAACGCACCCAAAATCTAAAATGTATTTAAAGTTCAACTGTACCAAGCAATAAAGCAGAACCTTTTCCATCTTTCCATTTAATCATGATATCAGTTTTCCATTCCATTATTAAATAAATAAATCTCTCGTTATATTTCCGATTAAATAAATACTTATCTGAATATTCCCTTGTTGATTGTCTTTTAAATTCGACTTATAACTTTAATAAACCCATTCGAGACTCAATTCGACGGAATGAATTGACTTGTAACTTCGATTAGGCTTATTACGACTCGGATTCTGAACCCTTTGTGGAATCAAATATTGTCATTCACGATAGTGACTTACGAGAATTGTGATAAAGAACGACCCTTACGATTGATTATTCGACCCCATTATTCCATCACGTGAACTCAAAGTTATCCCCGTTATCACTTGATCATCATCCGCTTTTACCTCATCATCCCTATTGAGATATCCCTAACAGCATCACCTGTAGTTGTATCGCCCCATCATCATCACCCCTCATAGTGTCATATTGTCTAAATAGACCTCCGACAGTTATAAAAAGACACCCTTCGTTTCTCTAAGTTTATCTTTATCTCCCCGTAACCGTTGGAGTTAAATTGGCCTTCCATCTATATTATTTCTTAAGCTCTCCCATCAACGGTTACAGCGTCGATGTTCTTTTCGACCACGTGATCTCCAATCACTCCACATTTACACTTTTTTTAAAAAATCTCAGTAATGAGCTATTCTTATCCCAAATTTAGATAATTGAATGCACAATAAAATCTGCTTACACGATGCAATGTTACAATTACAACCAATCATTTGCAAGATTTTGTGGTGCAAAACTATTAAATCTTCGCATAACCATACACTTCGTGAAGTTTTCGTTCCCGGTACAAAAAAAAAAAAATTTCAATAACAATAATGTACTACAGTATATGCTTAAACTTAATTTGTAATTTATTTATTTATTTGCCTTATGTTAATCTGAATAACAATTACTGTTTTTATCTTGAATAAACCTTAAGTGCTTAACAAAATTACAGGAATGTTGATTATTACATTAATTGTTTTTAAAGAATTATCAAAATTATTTTTTATCCGAAGTGTTGTCATCTAATAAATATAATATTTAGATTTTGCCGAAATTATTTTCATCTGAAATTACATCTAAAATAAATCTTATCGAATATAATATTAGATTTTGCCAAAATTATTATCTAATAATTTTTCCAGAAAATTATTAAATCCTCAATATTATTGTTGTTAAGCCAATATTATTGTTCAGTTAGGAACGAATATCAGATTCAAGAAAAACTGGTTCATATTCCAAAGATTGTAATTTTTTAAGGATTTCTCTTGCTGTAGGTCGTTTCGAAGGGTTTTCGTGCCAGCACTCTGAATATAATTTTATGTACTGCAAAGGAGTTTTATTTACTGGCTTTTCTCGTAAACCTTCAGAAATTTCAAAATACAAAGTAACTGGATCCTTTCCTTCAAATGGTGCTTTGGAACTTGAAATTTCCCAAAAAATAACACCAATGCTATAGATATCTGATGTTTCATTCAAAACATAATTCATATTTTGCAACTTCTGTGAATCAACGTAAGGAACCACACCAAGATCTTCATTAATTAATAATGTATTATGGAGGTTTTTTGATGAACCAAAGTCAGCAATTTTTATGTTCCCATGGTGAATTAGAATGTTTCTAGAGTGCTAAAAGTAATTTCATATTTTTAGTATAAAGCAATTTCTAACCCTATGAAAAATTGGTCTGTGTAGGCACGTGTTTCTACGGAGAGACACGGTCAAGTGTGGAACGGCAGGATGTCCGGGTTTGTACGTCTGTGATACTGTTTACCCGGACATTTTGGACGTAAATGGACCGGGTTTTGCTGCACTTTCTAAAGCAAAACTTACGGGATTTGGCACTGGTAATTGCACGTAAAGTAACCCACCCAATGCACGTGCCAATACCGTTATACGTATATCTAGTAGCTCACCCACAAAATTTTCTCCGACATGTGATTTTTAGCAAAACAATCGAATAAGCGAAAGATTTAGTGCAATAAATATCATCTTAGGGTTAGGATTAAGGTCAAGGGCGTAATTTTCATGTTACACCTGATCCTTCAATCTAATTGGCGCCGGAAAAATTTTGTGGATGAGCTAGAACGTAATATACGTGCCATTCTGGTTCGTGTTTCATACCTTTACTTGCCTATCCAGAAAACTCCGTGCCAGCCCGTACCAACACCCGGACCACTTTTCTCATAGGATAAATAAATAATTCACAATTCTACAATCAAACATACCAAATCTAAATGTGCTATCATTATATTATGCAAATAAGCAATTCCTTTAATGAGTTGCACACACAATTTGATCTTTTCCAACCAAGAAAGTCTAT